TCTCCTGGGGGTGAAGGATGATCCAGGCACCCAAGGGTTGCACTGGTTTGTGTGGGACTGCCAGAGATGTAGGAGACAGCCTGGCTCCAAGGGGCTGCTCATGGCTGTGGCACCTCAGGTTCCCCAAGCCCATCCAACAGCATCCTGCTCCTGATTCCACATCACAGTGACATTTTTAGGGCAGAAGAGGAGGATTTGGCTCGCTTTGCCAAACAAATCCCACTGAGGGAATCCATGCCATGCTTTGACGGGCTAAAATCCCCAGTTATCCAGGAGGCTTGTGCTGGTTGACAGGCTTGAGGGTAGAGCTCTATGCTGGCTGTTTGCATGGATGCAGAGATCCCAAATATACATGCCAAGGTGTCTGGATGATTTTTGCATCTCCTTTAGGTAAAGGTCTACTGAGATAGTACTAAAGAACCCAAATCTGTAGCCTTCTGAGCTCTATCAGGCACAGACAGCTGGAGTTCAAAGTTCAGTCAAGAATTTCCCACAAAAATCCTCTCCTTCATTCAGTTTTCACCTGTCCATGGCAGAGGGTTGGAACTGGATGATCTTTAAGGTCCCTTCCAACCCAAACCATTCTGGGATTCTATGATGATTTTATGATTCTTCCTCCTCCCCAGTATTACAAGATACTCCAGCTGGGGTTTAAATAATGTGAGCAGCATTCCCTGTCATACTCTTACACCAAACCAGCTCATGCTGCTATTTAAGCAACTCCCCATGAGCTGAACTGGCTGCTTTGTCCCAGGTGAGTTCAGGGGTCAAGAAACCACATCAAGAAACAGTTTTATAAGTCTGGAAGTGCCATTCTCCCCCATCCACTGTATCCTCAGTGCTTTCTCTCTCTTTCCTCTGTGTGAGACTGGAAGGGAATTCAGTTCATCTTATTCACTGGGCAGAAGTAATGACAGATTTTTGTTTATTTTTTTTTGTTTTTGTTGGGTTGTGGTTTTGGGGTTTTTTTAAGGGTTATTTCCATCCAGATCAGCAAACAAGTGAACACACGGCAGTGGGACAGCAGGACCGTGACTGTGAGCATGCCCATTAGTGCCAGAGGGACAATATTCCCTATAAACTGAGCATTTCCACCTTTCCTGGTGGACTGGCCAGCAGGTCCAGAACACATCAGGGGCAGAAGGCCCAGTGACTATGAGGAAGATGTGCCAGGTGGGCTGCAAGAGCCCACTCCTCACTTCCCTAGGAAAGCAGGCTGTAACCACGATGACTGAGCACTCCCAGGTGAGGGGCACGAATAATGAACCCTGTGGATGAATGTGAGAAATAAACTGTTTGATTTGGAGAGGTGCCTTGATTCAAACCCCTCCCCGTGCTGTCCTCGTACATCAGAGTGCGTCAGAGGGACGGGCTGGAAATGGGACGGAATTTGGCTCTGGATTCAGCCCTCTCCCTTTTTTCACAATCAGCTCCCAAAATGACAGCCAACTCTGGGTAATTTGGCTCTCCTGAGGGTTCATCCAGCTGCAGGGGATCTCCAGGGGAGCTCTGGCATCTCCCTGTGTGTGCTGGAGTCCCAGTGGCGATCTGAGGAGAGTAACTGGGCTGCTCGTCAGTGAACAGAGGCCCTCTGGCACTGGGGCCTGACCCTGGTGAGGTCAGCAGGAATTTTCCCATTTGATTCATCAGAACAAGAATTTCATGTCCCAGGGAGGACTTTTCCCTGGCTCCATCTGCCCAGTGCCTCAGCTGGTTGGCACAGCTCTCTCATTACATCATTGTTTCCACGCTTTCACAGAAATGATTGACCCAGAGAGAAATATTTTACCTGGAAAGGGAGACCAGGAGCTGGCAAAGGCAGGGGAGTGTCAAAATTTTATGTTGAAAAGACACAGAAGGGCTGAGAGTGGATTTGGACAGAAAATTAACTTAGGCTGAGGGAGCTCATAGAAGAAAGCTGTGAGGGACAAAGAGACCGATTTCCCTGGGGCTGAGTGACCAATATGGAATGGAGTTGTACCAGAAATTCAGAAATTGTGATTGCCCCATCCCTGGAAGTGTCCAAGGCCAGGCTGGATGGGGCTTGGATCAACCTGGGATAGTGGAAGGTGTCCCTGCCCATGGCAGGGGGTGCAATGAGATGATCTTTAATGTCCCTTCCAACCCAAACCTTTCTGGGAATCCGTGACTGCCTTGAGCACCTGGCACAGCCTGGAAAGGAGAAGTGGATGGGGGTGGATCTTGCCTGAGAAGCACAGACCACACTCACCTTTATGTCAAACCAGGTGCATTTTGCACCAAAAGTGATGCCAAAAAGACTTTCCCCATTGCAGCTGTTTTCCCTGGGAAGTGAAATAAAGGGGCAGAGTCCACCTGATGTTCTGGGGAGGTGGGGAATGCTGTGGTCACTCCTGGTCAGTGGCATCCCACCACTGGCAGCGTTGCTGACCCACAGGTGGGCACTTGCTGCTTTGTTAAACCTCAGGTTTATTGGTTTCAGGTAAGGGGAAAAACAGCTTTTCACCTGTGCACGTCAGATAACAATCAGAGTCCCAAAAAGGCAACAAATAGTTTGGGTGGCCTCAGTTTCTTCTTGTCACAGTGTTTCCTAAAAAATTACAGCAAAACCAAAGCGTTCAGGAGTTCATGAGCAAATCCACAGCCATATTCTCCCAGGGGAACAAGAGTCACAGAAACCACAAAATCTCCTTCCCAACAGCTGCTCGTGCCGTGCCAGTGGAGGCTGCTGCTCCCCACGTGCTGCAGCTGGCTGCTTTGGAAACCTTCAGCTCTCTGTGGTGGCAGGTGGCAGATTTTTGCAGCAGAGAATGATGGGTTCAAAGCAGTACTGAGCCGGGTATTCACCAGAAACACAGGTTCCCACTCGGCACAAGCCCCCTCCGTGGTTACAGCTGTCTGGTCCCTGAGCATCTCCTGGATGAGGGAGCAGCAAATTAGTGGATAAAATTCATGGGGCTCCTCCTGGCACCATGTCCCTGGCCAAGGGGAGCACACAGAGAGCCTGGGCAGCTTGAGCACACCCAGGATCCTCCCCATCCCACAGACAGGTTTAAATATCTATGTTAAAAACCCCAAGCTGCTGAGCCAAACTGCCTCAAGGAATGTTTTATCATGGAGTTGTTTTTTCCAGGATGTTGGTAAAAAATGTGCAATGGAGGTCAGAGGGGTTGTCCTCCCCCTGCCAACTGCAGAAAAAAGGCAGGAACATTTTCACAGGGCACAGGGCTTCTGCTTTAGGGCTTCTCCTAACTCACTCATGTGCCCCATTTTCACAGCTTCCTCCTTGCTCATTTTTTGTATTCCCCCAAGGGATTAAATAATGAATTTTCACAAAGTACCTCACCCACTCTCCCACCCAGAAAACACCTTTCCTCAGCACCTGCAGTATCACAGAGTGAAGAAAGATTATCCCTGCTCCCAGATGTCCTGGTCACCACCCCAGGCCTTCCTGGTCTTACCGTGCTGGGTCAGGGAGATGAGTATGAAAACAAGCACAAGGATCCCCATTCCTCTGGCTCTGCTGGAAAACTGCAGGGCAGGGAGTGAGATTTTGCAGAAGCCTCTGTGTGCTGCTGGCATGCTGGATGGCATCAGGGAAGAGGGGAGGAGTAGGCAGGAGTTAATTATATCCCAGAGTAACATTTGCTGCTGAGAAACCCTTTCGTGCCGTTCTGACCCAGCGCTGCTGCTCCAAACCATGTCGACTTTTTTCACGTTCACTGGTTATTTGCTTTCCTGATTCCTCTCCTTGGCAGCTGGAATTTTGGGCTGGTAGAATTCCAGCTGGAAAAAACACTCTCAGAGGGCTCCTCTGCCCTTCACCTGCAGCCAGTAAAATCCCTTGGACAGGGAGGAGGGAAGCAACCTGCAAGGGAAGACTAAGGATGTACAAGGAGGAGAAGGATGCAGGCTGGGACTGATTTTTAATCTGAGCTCCTGTGAATTTTTTCTCCAGCTGAAACCTCGGTGTTAGTTTTTTGGTTTTTTTTCCTGAGCTTTGGCTTCTGAGGAATTTGGGAGGCTTCATTCCACACAGTGCTGGTGGAAGAGCTGTTAGTTCAGCAGTGCACCCTGTGGTGGTAAATCTGTGGTGGGTGTGCAGCTCTGGCTGTAAAATGTGATATTCCAGCTGCCCTGCCTGGCCCTGCTGTTTGCTGTGCCTTCAGCTGTGGTAACAAAACTGGTATCTGAAACTGGCAGTGAAAGAACAAGGCTGAAAGTCCCTTTCTCCCTAAAAGAAACACCCAAACAGAACAATGTAACTAGAATCATAGAGTCATTTGGGTTGGAAAAGCCCTCCAAGGGCATCGAGTCCAACCATTCCCCAGTTCTCCCAAACCACCACTAAATCATGTCCCCAAATTCCACATCTATCTGTCTTTAAAGTCCCTCAGAGGTGGGGACTCCCTCATTACCCTGGGCACCCTGTTTTAATGCTTAACCACCCTTTCCATGAAGAAATTACTCCTGATGTCCAACCTGAACCTCTCCAGGTACAATTTGATGTCATTTTCTGTTGTCCTGTCCCTGTTCCCTGGGAGCAGAGCCCGACCCCCCCGGCTGTCCCCTCCTGTCAGGGAGTTGTGCAGAGCCAGAAGGGCCCCCTGAGCCTCCTTTTCTCCAGGCTGAGCCCCTTTCCCAGCTCCCTCAGCCTCTCCTGGTGCTCCAGCTGCTTCCCCAGCTCCCTCAGCTGCTCCCTGAAGTGTCCCAGGAATGACTGGAGGTGGCACTCAGTGCTCTGGTCTGGGTGCCAAGGTGGGGATTGGCCACAGGTTGGACTCGATGACCTTGGAGATCTTTTCCAGCCTTAATCATTTTGTGATTAAGTGTCCTCAGTCTTCTAAAACATCCAAGTGTAAAATCAACATGGTAAATAAGATTAGGCTGGTAAAAAGGATTAGGGGATAGGTTTTCCAAGGATGCAACTGCAAATTTTTGTGTAATTCTGCACATGGGTGTAATAGAGAGACATTCTGCTTCTTTCCATAAATAAACGACAGTTATACCTGTTTATTTAGCATTTATTGCCTTTTTTATATAAAGAAACACGTCACCTCTAGTTAATTACACACTTTGCATGTTGAGAGCACCAGACACGTCTACAACACTTGGAATGAAACTTGTTTGTTTTTCTGGCTGTTCATTTCCATGGTTTTCTGCAATCCCACGAGGTTTTTGTCACACTTCTGTGCAGCACTTCCATCCTCTGCGAGGGCAGAGTCCCTCTTGCTCTTGCAGACATTTGATTTCTGGGGGCACACAGTGGCCCCCCTCATCTTGGCAGATGTGGAAGTTGGATGTCGTGTCTGCAATTCAGAGGGTTTAAGTCAAACCAGGAATCCTGGCACTGCCATCCAAACCATCTCATACACAAAAATTGTTGGGAAGTTGAGGTGCTCTTGTCTCCAAAAAGCAAAGACAAAAAGATGACCTTTGGGGCTTATCACAGCACTTCTGTGAAAGGAGGAAATTTTGACCCACCACCTTGGGAAATAATTAACTGAGGGAGGGATATTGTAAAGCTATGAAGAAGATGGATGCAGAATGACTACATCTCAGGTAGGTGAATAAAATTGTGAGGGATGATGTTTTAAAATAAATGGAAGGAATTCCTAACTTGTGGGAGAGAAATCCAATAAGGACTTTTAAACACAAGGATGCCTAAATCTAAAAATCCTGAGCTGCAATTTCATGAAAGCCACAGTAATATATAAAGAACTGTAATGATATGGTTGTGGTCACTTTACACACACAGAGTAACTGTGAGGAAATATCCACTTCTGGCCATGGGCTGATCCAGGATGCTGGATCAGAGGAACTTACAGATTATCACAGTTGTTTATAAAGTATATATTAATTAATGATTGATGTTGAGGATTATCTATTGAGGAGCACCAAAACCAAGCAATTCTGGGAGGATTTAGATAAAATAACAGTAAGAGGTCGGTTGGCACCTATTAAGCACAGCAGGGTGGGTGCAGCCCAGCAGTCCCCAAACAGATGATTATAGAAAGATTTACCAAGGAAGGAGGACTCTTTGTGGGCCAAAGCTTTTATTTTGTTTTTCCAGCTGAAGGTAGAGCTTTGGGTTGTTTTGGCCAGCCCCAAAAGCTCCACACAGATGTCAGTGGAGGAACACACAGGTCCATCTTTGTACATGGAAAGAGATGGCTTAGACCTCGTGCCTGGAAGTGTCCAAGGCCAGGTGGGACGGGGCTTGGAGCAGGCTGGGACAGTGGGAGGTGTCCCTGCTGAGTTCAGCCATTTCCCCCCAGGTTTTTCCCTCCTGGGCAGGGTTCCCACACCTACCAACACAGCAGGTCCTGCGGCGCCGGTAGCAAGTTCCAAAGGCAGCGAACGGCTCCGGGCAGGATTTCAGATGGAAGCAGTAGCCGTGGTATTCCAAACAACGCAAGGTGTCTCTGGGCAAGCCGAGACCTACAGGGAGAATGGGATTCCCAGCTCATTCTCATGGTCTTCCTTCTGCTGAAACCCCCCTGACCCCAGTTAGGGATCTGACACAAATGGCCCCCAACCCAGAAGTTTTGAGGAACTCATGGGACCTCAGAGCGTTCCAAGGAAGGTTTGGTACAACTGGAGCGAAACACAGAGGTTGATGGCAATTTTCTGAACATATCCTGGCCATTCATGCTATAATGGGAAGGGACAGCCCAGTCTTGGATGCTCCTGAGTTCTGGGACTGCAGTGCTGCAGGAACATGCAAGGGACACCATGGTCAGCACATGCCCTGAAAATAAAATTATGACTTATAAAAACCCCCAGAAGCAGAATCTGGCTCAATAAACAGGAAGAAGCAGTTTTCCCAGTTCCTTCTTTCTCTGGAAGCCTTTCTCCAAGGTGAGGAGTTTCATTAAGCATGAAGAACAGGTGGGATAAAAACACAATCAGTAAATGAGTCAGTGCAGCAGAAGGGCTGAGGAAGGGGAACCAGAATATTCAGAGAGCTGAAGTCAGTGGTGCAGTTCAACCTGGACAGTACCAGGGAACGCCTCTGCTCTCTTCTACCTACACAGAGGGGACAATTTTTAACCCTGGGGTTAGAACTGGAGGTGATTTCCATGGCACCACCATCCAATAGTGCCAGAAAGTGGCATGAAGACACTTCAGAGAGTCCTAAGAGCCAACACCTGGCAGAGGCTTCTGTGGGGAGGTTCTGGTGGGGTACCTACTCACCATAGGTTAATTTTCACTTCTGCTTCTAGGCTGAGAAATAAGGAACTGCTCTAAGGAAAGGAGCTGAGAAGAATGTTCTGCACCACCACACGAGCAAGCTGGACCTCCCACACAGGCAACCCCCAGCGTGGGGCTTGCCCCTTACCTGGAACAGCCTGGAGGAGGAAAAGCAGGAGAGCCATGAGGCAGGAGAAGAGCTTCATGGTGGAAGGTCTCAGCTGCAGCGTGGAGACAGGGCCACAGTGCCAGAACCTTTGAGCAGGGGAGGAGAGAGCACTCTGGCATTTATAAGGCAGCAGGAGCAGCTGTGGCTGTCTGGGGAGCCTTGGCAGGGGTGGCAGGGGAGGGCAGCAGGTACAGCCTGACCTCTGCCCATGGCTCAACCTGAACAATGGCTCAGGGGCACAAAAACAAGGGGACAAATAGCTGTGCCTCCCTGCCTGACCACTGGGAAGGCTGCTGGGATCAATATGGATTCATCCAGAGAGCATCATAAACTTGAAATGTCAATGTGGTTACTAATGGATTATCTGGAGGAAATTAACCATTGTTTGGTGGGAGAGGAGGCAGCTGGAATATCACAGAATCATCAAAGAATCATAGAATACTTTGGGTTGGAAAGGACATTAGAGTCCATCTACTGCAGCCCCCTGCCATGGGCAGGGACACCTTCCACTATCCCAGGCTGCTCCAAGCCCTGTCCAGCCTGGCCTTGGACACTTCCAGGGATCCAGGAGCAGCCACAGCTCCTCTGGGCAACAGAGAATATCTGATCCTGCTGCTTGTCCTGTGATGCAACATCTGCTCCAAAGAGAAAGAAATAAAGGATAACAATCATTCCACACACAAACATACAAAATAGTTGTTTTTTTTTTTTTCTGTGAAAGGTGCTGTGAAGAAAAAAGAAAATCTGGTCTAGTGGAAAGTGTTCCCATCCATGGCAGGGGGCTGGAATGGGATGATTTTTCAGATCCATTTCATCCCAAGCCCTTCTGCCATTCCATGTTTCTATGATACACAAAGTGCAGGTTATCAGTTTTCAGGGGTCACCAGCAGCACCTTCAACCTTGTAGGTGCACAAGGAGCACATGACAAGTGAAATTCACGAGTTTTCCTCAGCATTTGCCTGTGTGGAGTTTGAGTGACATCAACAGACACATGCAAGTGGCAGCTGACAGCTCAGGCTCTCCCTCAATCGTTTACTTCAGCCTCTTTCTACAAAAGATATTTATTAATGTCGTTCTGACCCAGCAGCCTTGATATCAACAATACAAACCTCCCCCTCAGCCATGTGCATTGTTCTCTGTCTGCCTCCCTGCTTTCTTTGTTCCCTTTCCTTTGCAAATTTGCAGGCGCCATCCAGTCGTGAAGGAGAAGTGTTTGTGTCCATTTCCAGGTACTCCGGGGACAGGGATGAAACAAAGGCTGTAACAAGAACCCTTCAGCTGGCTCAGGTTCCCACCGAATCCAGGGGGATCCTAGCTGGGATATTCATCTCAGCTCTCAGACAGGATCTGTCATTGTAGTTTGCCAGGCTGGAGCAGACACTCAGCTTTCTCTACAATTATTTTTTTAAGTCACAAAATATGTAGTGATGTACTGGAAATGTTTGTATTTTAATTTTTTATGTCCATAGGAGGTTGTTGTGAATTCATAACAGAGGTGAAGTACAAATTCAAAACCTCAAGTGTGTTAAAAATCTGGTGGAAGAGGAGTGTAATCTCACATTCAAAGACCTTTTCCGTCATTTCCAGAATGTCCTCACTATCAGAACACAAGTGCTTATACAGTCACAGTCCCCTTCAAATAAAGATCAGAAATTATCCCAGAAAAAACCCAACTCTTTGAAATTCAAGTACCATCTCTACCTTAATGCCTCTGCACTTTGTTTGTTCTCCTCCTCCTGTTCTTTTTTTTTCTCCTCCTTTCCTGAGTTACTTTCCCAGGTTTTTCCAGGTCAGAGATGTTTTATATGGATTACAAAAGAAATGCTTACACACAGTGGAAGTTCTGCCCCTTGCCTAAGGATCTCTTACGAGAAGCTGCCAAGGGAGCTGGGAAAGGGGCTCAGCCTGGAGAAAAGGAGGCTCAGGGGGCCCTTCTGGCTCTGCACAACTCCCTGACAGGAGGGGACAGCTGGGGATGGATCTTTTCCCAAATAACAAGTGTCAGAGCAAGAGGAATCACCTGAAACTGCACCAGGGGAGGTTTAGATTGGATATTAGGAACAATTCCTTCACGGAAAGTGCTGTCCAGCCCTGACACAGCTGCTCAGGGCAGTGGTGGAGTCCCCATCCCTGGAGGGTTTTCTGATCTGGCCTGGGACTCACATCTCTTTGAGCAAGGGAGTTTTTTTGGGAAGGGAAGACTTCTCTTTCATTTTGAAGTTTTTCTCTGAAAATAATACCTGAGACACTAAATTTATGGGAAACATTTGCTTTTCCAAAGCACTTAACCAGATTTGAGTTATGTCAATGTAAATCAGCAGGATTTGACTGCAGTTGGGGTGAAGTGGTCCTGGAACTGGCTGAAAGCCTGACTTTATTTACAACAGTGGAAGGAGCAAGTTACAGAGCAGGATGGATGAGGAGAGGTGTCACTGGGGGTGGTCAGCAGGGAAAAATGTGGGGGGAAAATCTAATAGCAACCGTTGGGATTGAATAGACAAAAACTCTGGGCTGTGGAGGGAAAAAAGCGTATTTCCAGGAAGGAAACAAGCTGGATTTCCAGTCTGGCCTTGGGATAGAGGATCCTTCACTGAACAGAATTAATATCCAGCTTGATTTACAGCCCACGGAGCCTGTGAGCTGGTTCCTGGCTCCCTCTTGTGGGAAAAGATGCTGGAGGAGGAAGGGACCTCGTGGTGCAGGGCTTGTTCAGGAGGAAAGGTAAAAGCGAGAGGAAATGCCTCTTTGCTCCATCCTCAGCACTGGTAATTCACGGAGTAAATGTATGGTGATTATTGATATATTTGGCGAGCAGGGATGGGATTTGGTTTCAGGCATCAAATTTTACAGAGGAATCGAATTTTTGGAGGGAGTTGCTTACATTCAGGGTAAGTGTTTAACTATAAAGCTAATGTTTTCTAACTTCATATAATTTCATAATGTTTCTTTCATGTTAAAAATCCCTGTAACTATAGTAATACTGAGAGCTCTGCTCTTATCAGGATTAGGTTGAGCCAGGGAAGAGTTTCCTGGTGCTTTGCCCATTGCACTGCTGGCCACAGCCCCTGCCTGTATTGTCCCTCTCCAGACACCCTGGTACCCAGCAGACTGTCTCCAGCATGTCTCCCACGGGGTGGGAATGAAGTTGGGAATGGAGTTGGAGAGGGCTAAGGAAGGCTTCACCTCCTTACTGCTGCTGTTGTCCATGGCAGCCTTGCCCTAAGCGCCCGTGAGGAAAGGGTTGGGCAGGTGGGGCTGGTGCTGGACCTTGCCTGCACTGGTGGGATGTCCTGCCCTCCTTGTAGGAGGTCCAGGTGCCACTCCCAGCCAGCACAGGGAGGATGGGGCAGGACATCAGGAACTGTGACTGGCCTGAGCCCATGGGTGTTCTACCAAAACCATTTCTGGGTCCACAGCCAAAACCTGCCTTGGGCTGTCCTGTGTTCTCCCCTGAGCCCCCATCCTCTCTTGGAGCGTCCCTGAACCTGGTTCCTGCTCTCATTGACCGTGTAAGTCCTCTCATCCCACCCCACACCTTCATCCTGCAGCCTGGACTGGTCTCTGCAGCCAGGCCTTGGCCACCCTCCCCTCAGGTTGCCCCTCCATGGCCACGGCCCTGCTCCTGGGCTGCAGGGTCACCCCAGGGTGGTCTCCATGGAAAGGACATTCCCAGTGGCCAATCCCAGGCCCCTGGACCCCTCCACCCCGACCTCGTGGCGCAAGGGCAGCGCGTCTGACTCCAGATCAGAAGGTTGTGTGTTCAAATCACACCGGGGTCAGTCAGGGGCACCACTGGCACCCCTCTGCTTTTCTGGGGGGCTGTTCTGTGGGACAGGCAGGGCTCAGGGTGTAGGGACACGGGACTGTATGGGGAACATGATGCCCAGACCTCTCCTTTGAGCAGGGAGCTGTGCGGGATGGAAATTACGGATCAGGATGAAAGCAGGGAGGTTGTGTTGTGGCAGGTGTTTGCCATAATTTACCTCAAGAAGGAGGTGATGTCTTCCTCAGGAAAGCACAGGAAACTTTTTAGCTACAGGCTCAGTCACTTCTGGAGAACCAAGACATGTTTGCCTGTCAGGGTAACGTGGGGTGGCATGGTCAGTCCAGGGGACATCTGGAGGGGAATCAAGAGGAATAACTCTGTGCAGGATTATGGAAAAAGGGACAAGTTACTGATGATCAACATGGAAAGATTTTTTTCTAGAATATTATGAAAGACCATCTGGAAAGCTCTAGTCTGTGCCATCACAGCTCTGAGTCTGCCTGAACGCTGTGGAAACAGTACTTCAGAAAGCCCAAATGGAGGGAAGATGTGAAAATGACTGGAAGGCCAAGGATTTACCAAAGGCAAACAACCCTTGACCAAAATAATAGATTTCTTTGAAGAGATGATTTCTTTGGTAGTCAAATGAGGAACATCATTTATCTTGACTTTGGTTTCACCTCTGACAAGGTCTCCCAGACGTGTCCCCACAGCAGGACACACACACAGAGCAGCTGAGCTCAATCCAAAGGCAAAGCAAAGAGCCACAACCAGGCACTGACGGGGTTGGGGTCAGGGGTTGCTGGTCCAGGGCATCCTTTGCTGCTGGATGCTGAGCTGGGTGTGCTGTGGGGTCTGTGGTGGGAGCAGAGGCTGTTCCACAGAAGGAAGGACAGGGGCAGCGTGGCAGGGACGTGGGAGTGACGAGGGGACAGGGCCAGTGGCGCAATGGACAACGCGCCTGACTACGGATCAGGAGATTGCAGGTTCGACTCCTGCCTGGCTCAACACTTTTAGCCCACGGAAATTCCTCCTGCTCCCTTTCTGAGCACCTTCTTTCTCCTGCCCATCATCCATCCTCCCCCAAGCTCCTGATGTCCTATCCCACACTCCAAAAGGGGCAGGGGGCTGGAGCCCACACCAAAGCCAGGGGCACCACAGCAAATCCCACAGCGGAATGCAGGTGCCTCCTGAGCTGCTGTTCCACAGACAGGACAGAGCCAGCACTCCCAGGATGTCCTGGCACCTTGTGTGCCCTGGTCCCCAGCCCCTTCCAAGGCTCACACTGGTCCTGCTGCCCTTTGCCAGTGCCTTGCCGAGTTCTGCATGTGACAGTGATGGTCTCACAACAGGACATGGTCCCAGAGAAGATTTGGAGTTTCCATCCCTGGAGTTATTTAAGACTATTTATTTTGACTACAACCTGATGTCAAAGACCGTTGTACTCTGAGCAGGGATGAGATCCCCTGCTTCCCAGGGATCTCCTAAAATCACTTTTCTATACTGAATTAATTCTGTCACAAAGCCCATCCAGCGGTGGGAAGCCCCCAGAGCTCCGGGAGGGCTGGGCCAGTGGCGCAATGGACAACGCGCCTGACTACGGATCAGGAGATTGCAGGTTCGACTCCTGCCTGGCTCGCAGTTTTCCTGCCCACAGCCTGGCTGTCATATTGATCCTGACAGGGGACACCTTTCTCCACGGAGCCCTGCCTCTCTCTGGTGTTGTCCCTTCTTGGTGGGCTTCCTGCACAACAAAACTTCCCTCGTATCAGGGCAGGCTCTGGCTGGATACATTGGCAAAAAAATTCTCTGGGAGATGGTAAATCACTAAGAGAGGAGCTCAGAGAGGCTGTGACCTCTACATCCTTGGAGATATTCAGTCTGGGCATGCAGTCCTGATCTGCATGTCATAAATTAAGCAGAAATCTGGACTAGAGACCACCCATTTCCAACATGAATTACAATTTCCATGTTCTTTTGTCACTTCATACCTCATTTGCACACTCATGGTCCTGTCACCACTGTTTTGCACCTTCACTGTGTCTGTGGCTTGGGTCAGGAAGGTGTCCATGTGCAGCCATCAAGCAAGATCTTGCTACAGCTCACCTGCCCATGCCTCTGTCACCAGGCTGGAGCAAGTGGAGGTGGCCCTAGGCTAAGCTTTCCCCTCCACTGGACACTGCAGCTCCAGAGAGTTCTGTATGGGCTGGGAAGTTTCACTACACATCCCAGGAGGAAGGCAAGATGTGCTCTCCAACCAGCCAGAGCAGCTGAGCTGAGCCTGGAGCTCAGTACAGGCATCTCCTCTCCTGGGTGTGGACCCAGTGGGACCACAGGTGAGGAGGGCAAGGCTCACATGGAAGGGACAGGTGGGAGCAAGGTGGGATCCTGCTGTTTCCCTTCAACCACCAATAAATTCAGGTTGTCCTGAAGTGAGGACAGCAGGTGGGATCAGAGGCTGGGCCCAGTTGCTCAATGGACCATGAACACACCTGACTATTGAGGCTGCAGGTTTAAGTCCTGCCTGGATTGCCTGAAACTTGAGGTCCTTAACCTTCCAGGCTTTTTTTTCCCATCTATCCAACATCACCATCACAGGAACATCATTTTGTGACATCAAATCTGTGGGCAGGGCACTGCTTCCAGAACAGAACTCAGCAAGGCACTGAGAAAGGGCAGCAGGACCAGTGTGAGCCTTGGAGGGGGCTGGGGACCAGGGCACACGAGGTGCCAGGACATCCTGGGAGTGCTGGCTCTGTCCTGGCTGTGGAACAGCAGCTCAGGAGGCACCTGCATTCCGCTGTGGGATTTGCTGTGGTGCCCCTGGCTTTGGTGTGGGCTGCAGCCCTGTCCCTTTTGGAGTGTGGGATAGGACATCAGAAGCTTGGGGGAGGATGGATGATGGGCAGGAGAAAGAAGGTGCTCAGAAAGGGAGCAGGAGGAATTTCCGTGGGCTAAAAGTGTTGAGCCAGGCAGGAGTCGAACCTGCAATCTCCTGATCCGTAGTCAGGCGCGTTGTCCATTGCGCCACTGGCCCTGTCCCCTCGTCACTCCCACGTCCCTGCCACGCTGCCCCTGTCCTTCCTTCTGTGGAACAGCCTCTGCTCCCACCACAGACCCCACAGCACACCCAGCTCAGCATCCAGCAGCAAAGGATGCCCTGGACCAGCAACCCCTGACCCCAACCCCGTCAGTGCCTGGTCGTGGCTCTTTGCTTTGCCTTTGGATTGAGCTCAGCTGCTCTGTGTGTGTGTCCTGCTGCAGGGACACGTCTGGGAGACCTTGTCAGAGGTGAAACCACAGTCAAGATAAATGATGTTCCCCAGTGTCCATTTGGCCATTGAGGAAGAAATTGTGTTGTCCCAGAGTGTCCTGCCCTTGGGAAGTCCATGGTCCCTGTCTCCAGTCATCATCACATTCTTCCATCATTTCAGGATGCTTCCTTTCATAATCTTCACTTGGCCTCTGAGGTGGGATAGACCAGACTCTTGTTTTTACTATTTTCTTGAAGATACTCCTTATGGTGTTCATCAGGAACTTCTCTCTATTTCCATCATCTTACACTGAATTGTTGTCCTTAAACACTCCAGGAGTCCCCTGGACCGACTGTACCACCCCACACTGATATTCCAGGGAAATGTCACATGGAGGTAAGTCCAGGACCCCAGGAGTGACTGAGCCTGCAGTTGTGAAGCTTCTTCCACTTTTCAGAGAAAACCCTTCACTCCCTTGAGAAAGATTCCTCATGAGGCAACATGCAGCAGACACCCAGCACACCTCTCTGCTCTGCCCTGCACTTTGGCTGTGACCTGTCACCTGTGAATCAAGGCTTGATATCCATGCATCTTCCAGCTGAATGGGGCCCCTGTCCCCAGGGAGGTGCTGGGCCCCCATTTCTCCTGTCCCTCTGGAGACACCACATCCAGGAGTCTGTTTCCCCTGAGAGAAGCTCTGCAGGGCTCTGGGCAGTGGCCATTTTTGTCCTTCTTTCTCTGAAGTCTTATTTAGAGCCCTCTTTGTTTAGCAAGGCAAGGCAGGAAAAGATAGTGCCACCCCTCTGTCTGGTGAAACAAAATTCCCATTCCCTGAGAGAATGTCCCAAATTCCAAGATATTTGAGCAGAAAATGCCCCATCCCCGACCTCGTGGCGCAATGGCAGCGCGTCTGACTCCAGATCAGAAGGCTGTGTGTTCAAATCACACCGGGGTCAGGGTGTGCATCTCCTGGACGCTTCCTTTTGCCCTCCCAGCTGCTGAAGGGCAGTGGATGAGCCGTGGCACAGTGGTCTTTCCTTGCTGGATGAATGTTCAAAGTATCTTCAAAGTTACACTTCCTCAAAGTGTAGCTGCAGCTTTCCTTTATCCAATGTTTGCAAAGCTGACAGGAATAGTGGGCACTGAGAGGTGGCTTCATGTCTGGGTATTAATTGTTCTGGTCCCAAAACCCCTTTGGAAGGGCAAGAACCTGTTAGGGGGGGATAAGATCCCTTTGTATGTTCTTCCTCAAATGGAATAATCCAAATTTCTCCCCATCTCTCCTTGGATACCCCATATCCAACTCCCCCACCACCTTGGTGGCTCTCACTGAACTTTCTTCATTATGTCATGGAGGTTTTTTTGTTAATTCTGTTGAAATACCTGGAGGCTAAACAGAGCCACCAGCACTGGTCATCAGGATCTTTGACCCTCTGCTTTGTCTTTCCTTGATTCCCTACGGTGTTATGGACAGAGAGGATGGAAGGCTGGAAAAAAAGGCTTGAATTTATATGAATGACCTTATATGAGTTATAATTCATAAAAAGTAGATGAACTCCTTTAAGGGCTCTTTCAAGGTGAATGATAAAATATACAAACAGAAGACATACTGAGGTAGAACAATGGATCAGTAAGAAAGTCAAGAAGCTAAGAGTCCTTATCCCATAACTCCTGGAGTGACACCAGAGGGTTGAGTGAGCAGGGATTTCCTCAAGATGTCGCTGCCTCACTGCTTTCAATATCACAGAATCATTGCGGTTGGAAAAGACCTCCAGGATCATGAAGTCAAATGACTTTGGTTCTGTCTCCATAATGTGATTTTCTGTCCCTTTGGCTTCTCAGAAAGGAAAGAAACTCAGGTACTTCCTTTTGCAAATCTTTCACAGATGAAAAAGCCTCAAACAGTACAATTTCCAAGATGCTGTTGTTGGGACATCTGGCACTCTCTTGAAAAGGTATTTGGCAGCAAGCATTATTCTTGTAGCCTTCTCATCAGAAGTATTTTCATTGAAGGCAACAGGAACATTTTTTTCATAAAAAATCATATATTTTCATAAAAAATGCTGAGTTTGCAACTATTCTCACTTTTCAAAGGACCAAAAGTACGAAACTCTTAAGACTTCTGAAAGCCTTTTTTTTTTTTTTTTTTTTATCAGATTTGAGTCACAGTCTTGGGCAGGTGTCCCTGCCCATGACAGGGGTTTGGAGTGAGAGGATCTTCAAGGTCCCCTTTCAACCCAAACCATTTGATGATTCTGTGAAGAGCCTGGTGACAAGGTTAAATCAAAGGGACACTTCAGCAGAGAGTAGAACTTGATGTCTCCCATTCAAGGAAAGTCATCATAAGCTACTTAATAACCAAGATTAATTCATAATCTTGAGAGTCTCCAAATGTTTCCAGTTAAAATGCTCTGTCTTTCACAAACAAGGAAATCTTTGAGGCCATGTCAAATGGGGAAATGTGAGGGAGAAAGGCTTTAAATATCCATATTGCTGTAAATTCCTGTAACAAATGCTCTTTCCTATATAACTTTATTTTCCAGTGAAAATCCAGTTCTCCTGGAATTATGACCAGCCCTATCAAGATCTGTTACACAAAGTAGTTTACTCTGAATATTGACACAGAAGTAGGCTGACCAGAGCAGGATATGAAACCTGAAGCTGGGACTCCTTCACACAGTGGCAGATTGGGTTCAGCTCTGGACTTTTTGTATCTGGTGGAAATGTTTTTCTGTAGAAACTTGAACTGTTCTGTCAGGCAGGAATATTTATTTTTCTGTCTGTATAAGCAACAGTGTCACTTTTGTGTCACCAGGCTTCCTTCTAGAATGATCCCATGACTGTTTTGGAAGCTGAAGTTTCATTTTAATTTCTCTCCCCTCTGTTGGCTCAAGTCTCAGCATCCAAGTTGAGGACAAGGTCACATCTCCCTGTGAATGACCAAGGAAAGGTTGTTTTTGATCTGCTGGACCTTCCTAAGGATAAAGATCACAGAAACACAGAATGGAAAAGGTTGGGAGGCTCCACTGGAGCTCATTTGGCCCAACCTCCCCACTCAAGCAGGCTCATCCTAGAAGACATTGCACAGGATTTTATCCAGACACTTCTGGAATATCTCCAATGAGAAAGATTCCACACCCTTTCTGGGAAACCTGTAGGTCCTCCTGTTTGTGGAGGGAAGCTCGTTCCATGCCAATAAAAAGGTCTTTAGCCGCTTGATTCCCTCAGCACTTGAATCAATCAATGAAATGGCTGCTGGAGAAGTGACAGAATAATCTGTTAACATTTAGATACCAGGAAGAATTTCTTCTTGAAAAGGGTGGTCAGGAGTTGGAAGGGGCTTCCCAGGGAGGTGGTGGAGCTTCCATCCCTGGAAGTGTCCATGGAATTACTGGATGTGGTGCTCAGTGCTCTGGGTTGGTGACAAGGCAGGGATCAGTCACAGGTTGGACTCAGTGGTCTGGCAGCTCTTTTCCACCCTGCATAATTCTGTGATTCTCTGATTCTAACAGACTTTCTGTCTCATTTTCTCCAGTCAAACCTGTTCCTGGTGCTCTCATCCTTTCCCTGTTTACATCTACATCTCACTCCTGCTGCAGTGTGGAGCAGGATGGAAGAGCCAGGGCTGTGATTGCCCATGGCCTGCCCCAGTCTTCCACGAGGGGATGAATTTTTATAAATGTCTTTAGCAATGGCATGGAAAAAACCCCAAAGAGTGAGGTTTGGGCAATTTTATTTCAGGTATTTAAAAGCCACACTGACAGCAGGGAACTTCATAAAATGGAGAAAGTGGGAAAATATATAACAGAAGTACACGGAGATAATGGATTTAAGGGAAAATAACCCAGGCTGTGGCTCTGGGTAATTTCTTTCTCAATGTACATTTTGTTGACAGCATGTGGTTGATATTCTTTCTCTGCAATCAGGAGGCAGAAGGGCTTTCAGCTTGTGCACTGATATCTTTAGAATCAGGCCATAAAGCAGTATGGGATGGGTTATCAGCTAAGAATCTTCAAGAGAGAAGTATTTCCTTGGATTTATTTCAGGACAAAACAACAATAAAAAAGGCTCAAAGCAATTTCTTATCTCTATCTCTGTTGCAATCCCCAAGCCTGAAAATCTACAAACTTCTTTGTCATCAGATTCCAGACCTTAATTCATAATTAATTTCTTGTAAAGTCTTGTTTTTCGGGTTTTTTTTCCTATTTTTCAGCTGTTTTTCCAGGTGCAGACCCAGGATGTACTCCTGAATGATTTTCAGGTTGCTATCTTGGGAACTGGGTGAATATCAGAACAAATTCCATGAAAACCTGGGCAAAGCACAGGGACCATCCTTGTGAGCAGACTCCAATGCTGGCAGTGAGATGTGATCAAGAGCAGATTTTTAAAATGAATAAAAGTCTAAATGAATACAATTTATAATACAGAGCTCATCAGTTCATAGGTACCCATCCATCTAATTACATTCCCTGCTCTATCACAGTCCCTTAGCTTTCAAAGCCCCAGAAATGTTTTAGACACTTTTTATTCCTTATATTTGCAGTGAAAAAGTCATGATGGGAATTTTTCCCGAGAAAGAAAATGGCAAGATGAGGCTGGAGCAGATGGCCCTCTGCACCCACACCCACAAACCCAACCTCACTGCCCCTCTGGAGGGCTGGAGATGGGGGTAAAGGTGGGTTAAACTCTGTTTTATGCCCCCAGAAAAGGTGTGGGAGTGAAAATGTACAGATTGCTCTTGAGAAATGAAGCCCTCAATGCTGCTAGGAAGTCCTGGCCTTTCCAAAGGTCAGTTTCCTAGAAGTGTGTGGCTCATTACCCAGGAGGAATCCCCTCCTTGAAGGAGGAGGTGAGGTGCTGCCGTTCAAGACGTGGTTTCTCAGCCAAGTCATGCACAGGGGAGCAGGAGCTATTGGCCTTGTGTGGCTCTGTGGAGACCTCTCTGCAGAGGGGGCTTGGGGTCACTGAAAATCATCCTGAACATTTTGTAAACTTCAGCAGATGAGATTCAGGATAGTTTATGCCATTTCAATGTGTCTGTGAGGAAAGGAGATCAAAAATTAACAGCTCTGTGTTCTGAGGGATTCTTCCATGCTGGACTGTACAGCTGCTGCAATGTCAGCCCTGCTCCCAGCTGAGGCTGGAGCAAACCTCATCCCCCAGCACGGAGACCAGCATGGAAAGGATATCCCTGAATGGAGAGATGAAATGAAAGAGATGAAGTGAAAGGAGAGGCAGAAAGTATATTTACATGGTGCTCCCAGAGGTTCATCTGATAGATCACAGAATGGAATGTTTTGGGTTGGATGGGACCTTAAAGATCATCCAGTTCCATCCTGTGCCATGAGCAGGGACATTTTCCACTATCCCAGGCTGGTCCAAACCCCATCCAGGCTGGCCTTGGACACTTCCAGGGATCCAGAAGCAGCCACAGCTTCTCTGGGTACCCTGTGCCAGGGCCTGACCACCCTTATGCTTTTCTCAAGGAGATATTTAAAGGACATCAGATATCAAGGAAATGCCCAGAGTCCTGTCTCTATGACTCCTAGGAAACAACAGTCATCTAAATAGTGCTTTCAATCCACAAAGGGTGTAGTTCCAGGAAAAACTCATTACAGGAAAAAAAGGTTCAAGAAAAAAATAATTAATTTAAATATAAACTAGAACCTGGGAAGCAAACAATTAGGTGATGTAGGAACAAGTGAAAAGCCAGCCTTTTTCTTTTCTTTTCTTTTCCTTTTCTTTTCTTTTCTTTTCTTTTCTTTTCTTTTCTTTTCTTTTCTTTTCTTTTCTTTTCTTTTCTTTTCTTTTCTTTTCTTTTCTTTTCTTTTCTTTCCTTTTCCTTTTCTTTTCCTTTTCTCCTCTCCTCTCCTCTCCTCTCCTCTCCTCTCCTCGAGTCTCCTCGAGTCTCCTCGAGTCTCCTCGAGTCTCCTCTCCTCGAGTCTCCTCTCTTCTCTTCTCTTCTCTTCTCTTCTCTTCTCTTCTCTTCTCTTCTCTTCTCTTCTCTTCTCTTCTCTTCTCTTCTCTTCTCTTCTCTTCCCCAGCAGCTGTGGCCCATTGGGTGGGAGAAAGCAGCTTCCACCCCCAGCTCTGTCCCCTGCATTACACAATGCCCTGCTTGGCTCACTGGAAATTGGTGACGTGCTTGATGATGTCATGGCTTGCACAACTGGGTTTTGTCCCTGATATTGACCTTTGATGTTGTGGGCTGCTTTCCAGGGGGCTAGAAATGAAGTAACTGAGTAAATCAAAGTATCTAACGATTGCAGGTGACTCCTCCAGGTAGCTGGTTTTCTCTGCTCTTTAGAAGTGTCCCAGGCCAGGTTGGACAGGGCTTGGAGCAACCTGGGATAGGGGAAAGTGTCCCTGCCCATGGCAGGGGGTGGGAGTGGATGTTCCTTAAGATCCTTCCAACCCAAACCATCCTGTGATATGATATTTGAAGCCATCTTTTGTACCTGAATGGCCACATTTTGTTAGATGAGTCATACCTTTTCTTTTAGTGTTATCCCTCACTGTGTGCCATCGGTACAAGCTGAGATTTGCAGGGGCTGACTCACAGAGTGGGATCTAGACATTCACAACCACTGACATTTCTCCTGGGGGCAGGGGCCTCCAAGCAGAGACAGGAATGAAACTCCTTGCAATTCCAATCTCTGATCCAGACACTGACCTGTGTAGAAGACAGATGTTTAGATCTCAAAAAAATTACTATTATTTTTTATCATTTATACCAGAAGAAAGATTGCTAAGCAGGACAGAGGAATTCAAGACAACTGAACCATGAGGAGGGGGAGAAGGACACTTGATGAAGCATCTTATTAAAGGCTCATTTGCTGCAGCCAAACCAGACAAATATGAACAACTGTAATATGATTAGTTGCAAATACAGTCTGGAAGGCTTCTGGACTTGTAAAAGTGCCTTTCTCTGGGTTCTGAGATGGCATCATTCGACCATACCTATAATGTGAAATTCTTGGCTTCCAGTCCAAGGTGACCACACCAGACTTACTGCTGGAATAGTTCCTAGCCAGGACTAATCATTGAAACAGCCAGGAATTTTTGGCAGAGGGTTAGCAGAGGGCAAAACTGCCAGGGCTGTTCTAACTGAATACTGAGGATGATGAGTTTTCACATCCTGAGTCATTGCTCACACTCTGCTACCTGAATTAGCTGCAGCTCAATAAATTGTAATGTGATCTTGGATGTAGCAGGCACGAGGGAGTTGTCTACTACAGATGACATCAAGGAGAAGGTCAATGCCATGCTGACCTGACTGATTGTAGATATAAATATATATCAATCCAATTCCTGTGGCTGCAGCATTAGCAGCTTCCTACCTAGCAAGTCTGCAAAGTTCCATGATTCTGTTTTTGATGATGACGGTGTCAAAGGCAACAGAACCTACCCAATACACCACAAGAGTAGATATTTAAATGATGCACAGAGGGAAGCATTTAGACCCTGCTCACTGTCTCATGAAGACACTTCTGGTGCTTTAGTTTGTCATCAACTGCACAAGGACTCTTAAAAATTAAGGCTTTTGTGTTATTCTGTAGGATACCATCCACACAGAAGTCTCAGTATTTGTCAGGAAAAGCAGGAGCACTAGGGCTGTGTGACAGATCAGGGAACTCCTCATCAGGACCAGAGAAGTAACAATCTCTTCTCCATAACCTACAGGAGATCCTGCCTTCCTCCTTCCTCTCAAATACTCATTATTATTCGTTCTCACCCTCCCCTCCACAGAGGAATTCCCCTTTAGCTCAGAGGCTCAGAGGACAGTACATTCTCTCAGCTGCTGTTCAGTGCTGTCAGGTAAATGTCTATTTAATGTTGACTCAGTGTCTGGATTGCAACACGAGGGCACAAGCAGATGAGATCAAAGCAGCCAAGGGCAGGTAATAAGTGACCAGGTTCCCAGACATCAGCACAGTGCCATCCCTCAACCCTAAATGTACAGGGGCCTCCCCTTGTGCCCTCTCAGTGACAGCAGAGAATGCCTCACACACCAGGGTTCATTAACTGATCTGCTGTATTTTTCCTCATCTAAAACTTTTAGAATATTTCTTTAATAGGAGACATTTTCAGCTGTCACCAAGCAGTGAGGACTGATGGAGAAACAGAGGTAAAACCTGCCCTGTGCACTATTTTAGCTCATGGGAAAAGGCAGAAACCACTCTAGTGACGAGTGGGAATATTGTGTGTATATATTAAAGGATGTCCACTAAGAAATTTTCATGGATGAAGCAACCTTGGTCCTCATTTTCCCATTCTCATTGTACCCTAAGCAGGATGATGCCAAATGGTAGAAACATGGAATCACAGAATGGTTTTGGAAGGGAACTTAAAGACCATCCAATTTCAACCCCCTACCACTTCCACTACCCCAGGTTCCTCTAAGCCTCATCCAGCCAGGTTTTGAACAGTTCCAAGGATGTTCCACCTTCCATTGAACCAGGCTGTTCCAGATGGAGCAACCTGGGGTAGTGGAAGGTGTCCCTGCCCATGGCAGAGGTGGAACTGCTTGATCTTTAAGGTCCCTTCCAACCCAAATAATTCCATGATTCTGTGATTCTGTAATAACGATTTGCACCATAATTAGGAAAGCCAGGAGAATACCAGATTATGTTTTAACATGCATTTGGTTTTAATGGAACATAAGCACATTATCTCTTAAATAACCATGTGCCTGCGAGATTTTTAAGGTATATTTGCAGTTACAATGATAAAATTAAATTTTGCCACCATCCAAATACATGTACCCTATTTTAAACAACCATTCACAAAAGAATAGTAGTTCTTAGACTTCTTTTCATTTGTCATTAGCTGACATGTCACACTTAAGAGAAAATACTGAGGCAAACCCCTCCTATATAGCATCATGTAGGGTACTTGCTGTGAATTATTATGAGGGTAGTTTGTTTGGGAGGGAAGAAGAGAAGAAAAAACCCTGTCTTGCAGAAGACTGAGAAATCAGCTTGATTTGCTGTTTGTAAAGGTTTTTCCCCACTCAACATTTCAGATTTTCCTTGCAGTATCTCCTTTGGAAAGGGGCTGCTAGGGGAAAATTCAGGAAAATTGAATTTCAAAGTCCCCCCAACTCCTCTTTGCTTAGAGAGCTTGATTTCTCTGGGATAGGTACTTGCAGCTCCTTGAATTCCCAGCTCATCTGTGGAAGTTAATGTTCAACAGAGATCCCCAGGAATTATTCCCGGCCCAGTGTACTGTGGGATTCATTTTCATGCTCACAATTCCATGTTCCAGCCCCAGGTCACTGCTGTGCTGCATGAATTGTTCTGCTCCTCGCCTGTTCTATACAAGTTTTTCCCGGTTTTAAGCAGCCAGTTTGCACCTGTCTTTGTTTTTGTTAGAAGTCAAAGTCATGGAATTTTCCTCTTGCTCTGAATGACATTTTCTGCCTGTGCTAGCAGGGCTCAAAGCGTTGGTCACTTTCAAGGGATCATGGAATCATGGAATCCTTGAGGAGTTTGGGTTGGAAAGGACCTCAAAGCTCATTCCAACCCCCTGCCATGGGCAGGGTCACCTTCCAGTAGACCAGATTGTTCCTAGCCACATCCTTGATTGTTTCCAGGAACATCCACCACCCCTCTGGGCAACCTGTGCCAGTGTTATGCCACCCTCACTGTAAAAATCCTCTTCCCTGTTTCCTTGAGGTTCTCCTTCTGCAAGGAAGGAAATTGTTCAGCAAACTCTGAGTGCTATAGCAATCCTTAGCAATGAAATTTAAATAATTTAACCCTAATAAAATATTGACTCTGTTTCAGAGGAGGGAAAGAGTAAAGCCATGAAAGTGAGTGGAGCTTATTCAAATAACAGAAAGTAATCACAACCTTCTCCAGTTGCCACACTGCAATTTTATTTGGGAAAAGCACCCCTTCTCCCTAACATGAATGTCTTATGGACAAATGCTTCCACTTGCACAGCATTCCCACACTGTTCTGTCTGTGTGAAAGACAGGTGAGGGGAATTCACATTTCAATGGGTCTTAAGAAAAACAAAAGGGTTTTATTTTTTGGTTTATTCATGCTGGTCTTGCAGGTCAGGCATTTGCCTCTCTGCATCCCACTAAAGAGAAAAGAGTGGGGTGACAAATTCAATTTCTTCTCCATTAGAAATGGAGAAAGCTGGAGAGTTGCTGGCAAACGAAAAGATAATTTTCAAGGCAAGGGTACAAAACAAAAGAGGGACAAGAAAGGAGCACTTGGAATTTCTTGGTTAATTAGATTTTGTGAGTGCAAGAGGGAAATCAGTGTTTATCTTGCTGCATAAATTCACCTTGTT